GCCTACTTGGCCATGGTGGATGATTTTTGAGATGTGTTTTTGGATCTGATTTGCTAGAATCTTGTTGAGGATTTTTGCATTTATGTTCATAAGGGATAAAAAAGATAAGTTCTCTTTTTTGTTGGGTCTTTATCCGGTTTGAGTATCAGTGTGATGTTAGGTTCATAAAAGTGTTTGGGGAGAATTCCATCTTTCTCAGTTGCCTTGAATACTTTCAAAAGGATTGGTATAGCTCCTCCTTGTATGTTTTGTAGAATTCTGCTGGAAAGTCATCTGGTCCAGGGCATTTTCTTGTAGGTAGTATTCTTATGACTGAGTCAATTTCCTGAGTTTTTGTTGGTCTATTTAGAGCCACAATGTCTTCTTGTTTCAACCTGGGGGTTTTATGTGATGTCAGAAAGTCCTCCATTGCATTTATGTTATCCAGTCTGTTTCCCTATAGGTGTACATAGTAATCTCTGAAAATCTTTTGTATTTCTTCAGGGTCAGTTGTGATTTAACCTTTTGTATTTCTGATTGTGTTTATTTGGGCTTTTTCTCTTTCTTTCTTGGTCATTCTGGCTAGGGGTCCATCAATCTTATTAGTTCTTTCAAAGATCCAGTTTTTTGTTTTGTGATGTTTTCTATCATATTTTTGTCCTCTATATCCTGTATTTGGACTCTGATTTGGATTCTTCTGCTAAAGTTGGGGTTTTGGTGTTCTCTTTCCAGCTCCCTTAGGTGATTTGTTAGGCTCCCCACTTGTTATCTTTCCATTTCCTTGATGTGTGCTAGTAGAGATATAAATTCCCCTTTTAGAATTGATTTCATGGCATCGCAGAAGTTTTGGTAAGATGTTTCTTCAATTTCATTTGTTTCCAGGAATCTTTTAATTTCTGCTTTGATTTCAGTGTTGACCCAATAGTTGTTCAGCATCACGCTGTTTAGTATTCATGTTTTTGTGGGCTTTGGGGAAATGTTGTTGGTTTTGATATTTATTTTTATTCCACTGTGGTCTGAGAGTGTGCATGGCAAGATTTCAGCCTTATGGAATTTGTTTATGCTTGATTTATGGCCAAGGATGCGATTGATCTTGGATTACATAGCATGTGGTAATGAGTAGAATGTATATTCTGTGATTGTTGGGTGAATAATCTGTAAGCATCTATTAAGGTCATTTGGTAGAGTGTCAAATTTAGGTTTTGGATTTTCTTGTTGATTTTTTCCCTTGATGATCTATCTAGAGCTGTTAGTGGGGTATTCAAGTCCCCTGCTATCATAGTGTTAGAGTGAATATCTTTTTAGTTTACTTAGTAGTTGCTTTATAAATGCTGGTGCTCCTCTCTTGGATGCATATTTGATTAGGATGGATATTTCTTGTTGATTGATTGAACTTTTCATCATTATGCAGTTTTTTGCATCTTTTTAAATATTTGATAGCTTAAAGATTGTTTTCTTTGATGTTAAGATTGCAACTCCTGTCTTCTTTTGTGACTCATTTGCCTGGAATTCATTTTCCAGCCTTAACTTTGAGTCTGTGTTTGTCCCTTGTAGTGAGAGGAGTCTCCTAGATGCAGCAAATAATTGGGTCATAGCTTCTTATACAGTTTGCCTTTCTGTGTCTTTTCAGTGGTGCATTTAGTGTGTTCACATTCAGGCTTATTATTGAAATGTGATTGTTTATTGCTGTCATGAGGTTCTCATAAAGTTTTTTCTTTGCTTGTTTTCTTTTGTCTTTGGGGTTAATGTATGTGTGTATTTTCAAGTTTCTCGTTGCTGTGTATTCTTTGTTGATTCTGTGCTCTGCTGTTCTCTTGGGAAGTGTGTGGCCATTCTTTTTCTTCTCTCTTCTGTGCTTGATACCATTTTAAGTGTCTCCCATAGAACTGGTCTGGAAGCTTCATAATCTCTTAGGGACTGGATGTCTGGGAAAGATTTTAATTTTCCATCACTGACGAAGCTGAGCTTGGCTGGATAGGAAATTCTTGGTTGAAATTGTCTATCTTTGAGGACTTGAATATAGGGCTCCAGCCCCTTCTTGCTTATAGTGTTTCTGTTCATAAGTCTGCTACTATTCTGATTGGCTTTCCCCAGTAGGTAGTCTGACCTTTCTCTTTTCTGTCTACTTTGTGTAAGTGAATTATTATGTGTCTAGGGGTTATTCTTCCCATTTGATGTCTTGTGGGAGTTCTCTGTATCTCCTGTGCTTGGCTGGTCACATCTCTGCTGAGATGGGGGAAGTTTTCAGTATTACCTCCTGCAATACTTGCTCTAAGTTGTTCTCCATTTCCCTTTTTTCCTCCGGAATACCAATTAAGTGTAGTTTCGGCTTCTTGATATAATCGCACATCTCTTGTAGACTTTGTTCTTTCTTTCTGAGTCTTCTTTCTATGTTTTATACAGACCAGGTTAGTTTCAAGTTCTGAGATTCTTTCTTCAGCATGATTAATTGTGCTTTTCATGCTTGTCATCTTGATATTTATTTCCTGGATGAATATTCTTGTTGCCAAAATCTCTGTTACAAGTTATTTCAGTGTTGCTCCTTGTCTTTCTTGAGTATTATTCACTCTTTCCATCCATTGCCTAATCCTTGTCATATTCTGCAGCCAATCATTGGTAACTTCCATTGTTTGGGCATCAAAGTCTGATTTTACAGGAGTTTTGTCTTTGGTACACTTGAAATTGCCTGAGGCCTTCCTTTGGTTTTTTTTCTCGTTTGTGACAGATGTCTTGTTTTTGTCTTTTGTTCTGTTATTAATTGTCAGTGGGAGAGGCTTTCCCTTTTGGTGTTTGTTCAGTGCTCTATTCTTCCCTGATCCAGGCTCTGAATTTTTTCTATTTTGAAACAGGATGGTGGATGGGAAGCTTTGCTGTCTCTTGTAGTTTTTGAAATTCAAATGAAATTGGGGATGGGCGCTAAGATTCAGGAACTACTTGCAAATTACAATGTTCACTTATTGTGGTATGTGTTCCCTGAGATCCACTCCCCACCATCACTCTATATGACGATGGAAAGCAGAAACCAATGCAAAAAAAAACTGAACACACATACAGACAGACATATATACACACACCCAAAACAAACTGGAATAACAACAAAGTGAAAAAAACAAACAAGCAACAACAACAAAAAACCAAGAAAACTAAAAAATCACACACATGTCTAGCATAAAGTGAATAGAGAAGAAAAACTGAAAAATCAGTGGGGGAAAAAATAGAATTCAGGTCCAACCCTCACACATATATTGACACACACCTTAAAGTATAAAAAAGACAAAAAAAAAACCCAGAACAACAAAAGATCAAAAACAAACCAACAACAACAGCAAAATTGAAAGATGGACACTCAGTCATTCATATACACACATAGACTGAAAACAACAAATAAAAGAAGAAAGAGACAGAAAAAGAAAAGAAAAAATATTTGGGTGGGAGCAGTTTGAACCCTCATATACACATTCATGCACAATGGAAAAATATTTTTAAAAAATGGATTAACAGTCAAAAAATTTTTAAACTGAAAATTAAAAAAAATATCTGTTCTCTTGTGGCAGGCTCTGTAATTGTTCCTCTAATAAGGTCTCTGCTGCAGGGCCACGTCTTTCACTCTCTCCTCAGTGTCTAAAGCAGGGAAGGAGGAGGGACAAGAGAGGTGGGTGGGACTGCAGTCCTCTCTTCCCACTCTCATATGGTCAGGGAGATCTCCTCTGGTGGGGAAGTATGGGACTGTCTCTTCACCAGGTATGTACTCACGGGTGGTGCTCCAGTCAGGCCTATCCTAGAATGGAGTTCTCCTATTGTGACTGACGTCCAGGATCCACCTTGGTTTGTCCCTCTCAGTTGTGGTACAATTGTGTGGGTCTGACGTCAGGGGATTGCTGGGGAGGAGGGGGTTTGGGTCAGTCCCAGACTCACCATTGATCTCTTTGGAGTTCTTCCTCATCTTTTTCTGGTCACACCCTTTGTCTGACAGCTGGATCAGGGTAGGTGGTGGGGCACCTGGAACTCAGCACTGGTCAGGTCCCTTCAAAGTTTGTGCTTTGGGTCATGATCAATTCCTAAGTAGTTAATCTGCCAGCCATAGAGATGGGGTCTGTTGCTCCTTGGTGAGTGGGTCAAAGCACTTTCCTGCCTCTCCTTCAAGATGATGGTGGGGTGCCTCTCTTGGCCTCTTCTGTGGGACTTTGCCTCTGGACTCCCTCCACAGCCCCTGTTACCAGTGTCCTGTCAGGTGCCGAAGTGGCGAGGCAAAGTCAGGAG